TTGCTCACTCATGTCCGACTCTTTGAGAGCCCCATGGAGTGTAGCCCACCAGGCGTAAGATTCTTCTGTGGAGCAAGATCAGAAACCCCTGCTTCTCCAAGGAACCCATTGCTTTCCCTTTCTCCATGAAAGTGACCATAATGAGGTTGAGCAAGAACGTGGGCAGAGTGATGCTCTCATAAAGCTGTTCCCCAGCTGCAAAACCCAGAGAGCTTGTGACACTCCGGAGCCCACGCAGCAACCGCTCAGGGAAAGGCAGACTGCGCATGTCCACCCTTGAGCGCTCGGCTTGGACTCGTGTTCAGTGCTCGGCTTGGACCCGCGTCACTGCTCTCCATACCCTGCCTCCTCTTAAACTCTCACTCTCCCCTCACACCACACAATCTCCACTTCCAAGTCGCCTTTCCAAGTGCCCAGGGTGTTTGGAGGAACAGCAGCGCTAATCAGCAAAGTGGGTGGGGCGTGGAGATGGCTCTTTCCCCCTCCAACTGGATGGCTCTTTACCATCCAATTCTTCATGCTGACTTCCTGACAGCCTGCTGCTCTTTTTCTCTCACATCCATCCTTCATGTGCAACACCATGCCAATCTGTAAAAATTAATTTGAATTTTTTTTTACCATATTTCTAAATGCCAATACGCTCTCCTGCCCCAGAAACATTGCTGGAGTGCACACCTGAGTAGCCCAGCTCCTGCACTGTGGAGCCAAGGTTTCAAGCTGGTTTGCAAGCCTAGGGACCAACATATTTGAATCTCAGCACACATCCCAGCAATGGCCCTGAACCACAGATCAAGGTCCCCCCTTCCCATGCTCAGGGGCTAGAAACACACACCTGCTGTTTGGTGTATGAGGAGAAATCTGGAGGTGTTGGGTCAACATAAATCTAAAAGCCATTGGAGAAGAACATGTTATACTTTTAGGTGAGTTAAAACAATTGACTGTCCCCATATGAAGGGCCGGAGGAGGCAATGGCACCCCACTCCAGTACTCTTGCCTGGAAAATCCCATGGACGGAGGAGCCTGGTAGGCTGCAGTCCATGGGGTCGCTATGAGTCGGACATGGCTGAGCGACTTCACTTTCACTTTTCACTTTTATGCATTGGAGAAGGAAATGGCAACCCACTCCAGTGTTCTTGCCTGGAGAATCCCAGGGATGGGGTCGCACAGAGTCGGACACGACTGAAGTGACTTAGCAGTAGCAGTAAATGAAGGGCAAGTATCATTTGTGCAAGCTGGTTTAAGAAGGTCGTCATTATTGTTCAGTCGCCAAGTCATGTCCAACTCTTTGTGACCCCCGTGGAGTGCAGCACAGCAGGCTTTCCTGTCCTTCACTATTTCCCGGAGTTTGCTCAAACTCATGTCCTTTGAGTCAGTGATGCCATCCAACCATCTCATCCTCTGTCACCCCCTTCTCCTCTTGAGAATGTTGGAGATGTGATATAAAACAACATTTAAATCCATAGGGATCAAATTAGTTTCTTTTTCTTTCCACCTTAATTTAAAAAATGGTGCAAGAAAGTTTCCATTTAGTGCTGGGATGTCACTAATACTTCTCATATTTATTCATTCCACCTTTCAACAAAGAGAAAGCCAGCTTTGAAATTCAGCAGCTTGGCAAGCAGCATTTGTTAAAATACAATACAGTGGCTTGTTTTCATTTTATTGATTTTTCAGTTATCTTTTATCTTTGGCAAGTAATACAGTTTTATCAGTTTCCGTAACAACCTAGAACTTCGCTTCCATGGACCAGGCATCACATGGAAGTTTTAAATGCACATTCCTGGGCCCCCCTCAGGATCTCCTGACCCAGAATCTGCATTTTCACAAGGTGTCCCAAATGATGCAGCCACATGTTAATATTTGAGAACTTAACCACAGATCTCAGTTTTAAGACACTTATTTACAAAGAAAAAGTGAATTGACTCAAAAACAATTTGAATAAGTATTTGTATATGTGACAAACCATGCTAGTTGTCTAAGAATACTTGGGAAACATTTGGGTACAGCATTTTGCTAATTAAACTGAGACATGGGGATTAATCTCTCCAGAGACCAGTGTGTACCACTGAACCACAGACTACATTATCTGAGTGGAGGAGAGGGACAGTTCATTCCTTGGCCAGCAGCTTTACCCCAGACCTGCCCACCAAGGAACTGAAATGTGTCTCCATGGGACTAGACTTCCCCTCATGCCCAACTCTAACTCATGCTGGTGACATTTCCCAACTACTCTCTGCAGGGAAATGTAAACACATATAGTTATGTGCCAGTCAAACTCATATTACTACTTAGAGGTAACATAAAAGTTTCTGTTGATATTTTCTTTGTGTTATTTTAGAAATAACAAATTTTAAGATAAAATACTTTGTTTTTCCACTAGAAACTATAGCTTCAGTGTGACTTGCTATTTCTTACAAAATCTGCCAACCATTTTAATAATTATGTCATCAACTGTAGTGTCACAAAATCAGAAAAGTGCTTGATTATTAATATCAAATTAAACAAAAAGTCACTTACATCATATGAATGAGGACAACTCTGCTATGAATTTCGGTTGATATTTCCATTGACTTTATGAGTCATTAATCAGTGCTATGACTGACTTCTTTTTTTTTTCCATTTATTTTTATTAGTTGGAGGCTAATTACTTTACAACATTGCAGTGGTTTTTGTCATACATTGAAATGAATTAGCCATGGATTTACATGTATTCCCCATCTTTGTGAATCACATAGTAATTTTCAAATACTGGAAGAATAGCCCCTCTAATTTTTGTGACATTATCAATGCAATAGCTATAGACATGACCCACTTTTAAGTTTAATCTGCATTATTAACACTTTCTGCATCCCTTTCTTAAGTCTGCACAATCAACAAAACAAAAATTCAAACCCTGATTTGTAGTGTTTGCCAGTTTCCATGGTGTAAGTACTCTCACCATGGCTGATATCAAACTACTGTATAGTTCAGTCATGTCTGACTCTTTGTGACCCCATGGATTGTAGCCCACAAGACTCCCCTGTACATGGAATTTTTGGGGCAAGTATACTGAATTGAATTGCCATTTCCTCCTCCAGAGAAGCTTCCTGATCTAGGGATCGAAACAGCATCTCTTGTGTCTCCTGCATTGGCAGGTAGATCCTTTCCCACTGAGCCACCTGGGAAGCCCATCAGTTACCATTAGGAGTATTCAACTATAGTGACTTGCAAACTCATGTGTTAGCTACTATTCCTTGTTACATATAGAAAATACACAGAGCCAATATTTGCACACTTTTAAGGTTCTAAAAACCTCCACATGCATAACTGATGGGAGTCTCACAGTGACCCCAGGAGGCAGTCATCATATGATTATTATTCCCCACTCAACATCATCTAAGACTGGAACTCAGAGAAGCTGAATAATGGGCCAGAGACACATAGCCATGGGCCAACCAGTCAGAGCTGGGCCCACAGATTCTGCTGTCCTTCAGCTGCTCCCTGGCATTTAATAGACACTTTTGTTGAGCTCTTAATAGACCTCAAATAGCAAGAATTGGCAGAACTGCTACTGAGAATGTGAGCCTTTTGATTTGGGATTTTTTAGCCACTCAATTAGGTTGGACTATTTGGGCATAATTCTATAAATAAGTATTCATATGTAGTAAAGATGGAAAACTCAGAAAGCCAGTAACCTAGGAGAGAAAGCAGTTTATTTTCTCCTACATCATTGACTTGGAGACCTTTCATCGGACTGCGCTGAAGAAACACGAGGAAGAACTCTGGTGTTTTCCCTTTTCTCCAGCAAAGCGGAGTAACAGAGACCCGCTCTCTTGAATGTAGGAGGAATCAGAATATGTCCATCTTGCTCTGGGGAGAAACACAGATCTTCCCCCTATATTCACAGTGGTGGTCAGATGGATTTTTACAGGAAAACAGCAGCTATCAGGTTGAGTTAGTTCACCCCTTGTTGGAGGAAGGTATGGGACAATTGCAACGCTGGAGGGAGTTCAAATTTCCAAAGTTTATCATGGTTATAACGCCTACTTTTTTTTAAATCCTTCCTGATGACCCCTTAGCACTGGGTCTTTTGTTATCAATTAATTAATTTTGGGGGGTTGCACTGGGTCTTCATTGCTGCACACAGGCTTCTCTAGTTGTGGCAAGTTGAGACTTCTCTTCGTTGTGGTGCACCACCTTATATTTGCAGTGGCATCTCTTGTTGCTAAGCATGGGCTCTAGGCACACAGACTTCAGTAGTTGCAGCATGTGGATCAGTAGCTGTGATTCACAGGCCCTAGAGCACAAGGGCTCCAGTAGTTACGGTGCAGAGGCTTGGTTGCTCCCCAACACGTGGAATCTTCCCAGACCAGGAACTGAACCTGTGTCCCCTGCATTGGCAGGCAGATTGTTAATCACTGAGCCACCAGGGAAGTCTGAAATGCCTACGTTTTTGACTCTGCAGTTTCACTACAGCAATTTACCCCTCAGAGATCCCCCCATGTATGGAAAATGAGGGATTGCATCATTGTTCATAACAGGCCAAGACTGGAAACAAGGTAAGTGTCAATCAGTGGGAAACTTCCAAATAATCACAGTACCTCCAAGCAAGGTAATATCATGCAACCCTTAAAAAGAATGTAATTCATCTACATGTACTGCTATAGAATAGTTTCTAAAAATGTATTAAGTACCAAAGCAAGAAGGGATGCTCATATGCATCTGTTTATAAATGAATGAAATAGCTCTGGTAGGAGATATAAGAAACTAGAAACAGAATGAAGTAATTAGGGAAAGGAAGAAAAGGTGACTTTCTACTATATATCCTTTAGAAGATCTTTTGTATTTTGTTCTATTTGCATGCACTATATGTTCAAATTAATTAAGTGTTGGAATGCAAGTTCATGTGGCTACCTATTTTTTAAAAAGTGATTTTTAAATCAAATGGCTGTTTCCAAGAGGGTGAGAGGGAATGACGAGTTCAGGCCGTGGCTCCTCTGCTCACTCCTGACTCTCCACAGCAACAGGCGGAACTGGCTCGCAGGGCCCAGACCCAGGAAGAGAAGCTGGCTGCAGCCCTCAGGGTGGAGTTGCACAACACTTCCTGCCAAATCCAGAGCCTGCAGGCTGAGACGGAGTCCTTACGAGCTCTGGTGAGTAGGCCAGGAGCAGTCCTGGCCTTTCCTGTGGCAAGTTTAACTCTCGGCTGTCTAACCGTAGTCGTATGGGTTTCCCATCTCACAGCACAGGAGAGTTTTGAGGCCTGCAAAGAATCATCTGATACGGAATGCTGAGTGTAGTAGATAGGGTTAGCACCCCAGACCTTACCAGCAAATAACAACCAGATCAGACACTGATCTACATTTATTTCTACTAATCACATTTTGCTACCTGTAGACGTACCTAGGATGGGAATCTGACTCAACATTCTCATATCCTGTAAAGTTAGGAAGGTTTAAATAAGATAACATGGTAGCCTCTGCTTAACAGTAGTCATGATTCAAGATGACATCTTGACCAAGAATCTTCCATTTCAGTCACAATGGTCAAAAGAGAGTACAGAAACCTGTTTCAACAAGACTCAGTCCAATTTAGAAAGATATTTGTTTCTTATGTGTCATATAAAAAGCCAGATTCTAAATTATAGAACTACATAATTAGAACTACTAAAAACCTTTTAAGAGATGCATACCATTTTTTAAAGGTGTTTACTGGTCAGTAAAGCCCTACAGTTTGCAGGGCTTGGTATATGGGAAGATGAGAAGAAAGTTTCAGTCTAGTGGGGAGATAGGGCAGTAAGTGTAACCATAATACAAGTGCTGTTATCTAGGCAACACACACACACACCCCTGCTCTATATCAGGTCCTGTCTGGTCTCTGGGGTTATAGAGACCAGGTTCCTGCTCTCAAGGAGCTCAGCATCTGCTAGAGGAGACATGCCCCTAAGAAACTCTGCCCACTTCCAGGGCATGTGTGTGCTTGGGAAGCTGTGAAACCCAGAGAAAGGACCCCCTAATCCAGCCTGTTGGTGGCAGGCACAAGAGGTTTCCTAAGAAAGGTGACCCCTGATCTTGGACATGGAGTGAATAGGAGTCAGCCAGGTGAGGAGGAGGGGGATACAAGCAGATTTGGGCTTTAGACAGCACATGGTGGCTGCTGTTAGCGACGGGGTGGGGGCAGGAGTGGGGCTGCAGTGCAGAAGAGGAGGAACTACAGTCAGGGGAAGTGAGCTGGGAGGCCACGGAGGTTCCTCCAGATGAGAGGTGATAAGCATCCATCCAGGGTATTGGTGGCTGGAGCAGAGAGGGCACAGTTTCAGAATACACAAGAGGCAGGACTCTGATAATTGAATCTGGGAGGGAAGCAGGATCAGGGGCATATCTTTCCCTGGTTTCTAGCTCCTGTTGAGTTCACCAGCTCAACAGGAGCAGATGGGCCAGCAGGTTTGGAAGGAAGCCAATGGCTTCATTTTGAACACCTTGATTTGAGGTGCCCACAACCTGTGTATATTTCTAGGAAGAGAGCCTATCAATAGCAAGTCTGCATGGGTGGGGAGAAGTCTGTGCTGGACACATCAACACAGGAGTCAGTCCCAGAGATGACCAAGTTGTGAGTCTGGTAGAGACCAACCGGTGCGGCTCAGCTCAGAGAGAGATGGGCTAAGGGTGGGGCGAAGGGGCAGCTGGGGAAGAGGAACTAGCACAGTGAGCTACCGAAACGCTAAGGACAGACATGCTGAGGGTATAGAAACCAGTGACGTTATTTCTGACTGGGGAATGTGGGAAGCGTGCAGGAGGAGACAGCATCCCAGCAGGACGGTGAGTGGGGGTTCACAGAGGAAGGAAGGTGCCCGGAGGGTGAGCAGTCAGGAGCAAAAAGGCGTGGAGGCGGTTCAGGGAGAAGACTGCAAAATTTCTTTGAAGAAACACCTGCAGACTGCCTCCTGTGTCTGTGTGTGTGTGTGTGTATTTCTCTTTCCTTTTATCTCTCTCCTTCTCTCACTCATCTCCCCCTCATTTTCTCTCATCATTCTGTCTCATAGGCCCTCCCTCCTGGCCTCCCTCCTCTCTTTTTTTTCCTCATCTCCCTCTCCACCTCCACCCCCAGAGGAAGGATCAGTGAATTAAACTTAACAAGTCTCTGGCCTCCCCAGGAGGATTCAGTACTTCCCCCACTGACCCACCTCAGTCGGTCAAGGTAATCGTCCTGGCAGAAACGGACAGACCAGGCCGAAGCCAGCCCCTCCCACGGCTCTGCCCACCTCCGTCTTCCCAGGGCCCGCCCGTCGGCCTCGAGCTTGGCCCGCGTTCCCTCTCTTGTAGAAACGAGGCCTGGAGAACACCTTGCACGACGCCAGACACTGGCACGACATCGAGCTGCAGAACCTGGGGGCGGTGGTCAGCAGGCTGGAGGCGGAGCTCAGGGAGATGCGCGCGGAGGCGGAGCAGCAGCTGCAGGCCCGGGAGCACCTGCTGTCGCACAAATGCCAGCTGCAGCGGGACGTGGCCTCCTACCACGCGCTTCTGGACCGCGAGGAGAGCAGGTGCGTCTCTGCTCTGCTTTGTTAGGAGAGGGGTAGGTACTCGTGGGTTCCGATTCAACATTTTCTCAAATACTATAAAAGTAATTAATGTAAACAGGAGAAATCACCGCCCAACACACCCCCTCAGCTCCCACAGCCTGACTGTCCTCCCAGGATTTTTCCATTCATATGTACGTAGATACACAAGTATTTGTCTCCCCTGGTGGCTCAGTGGTAAAGAATCCACCTGCCAAGAAGGAGACAAGCGTTGGATCCCTGGATGGAGAAGATCCCCTGGAGAAGGAAATGGCAAGCTACTCCAGAATTCTTGCCTGGAAAATCCCATGGACAGAGGAGACTGGGCTACAGTCCATGGGTTTGCAAAGAGTCAGACATGATTTAGCAACTAAACAACACAATATATAGATGAATATATAGTGTATACTTATGTGTGTATACATATATGTGTGGATGTCAGTATATATTCATGTATACAGACATATAGACAGACACCTATAGACACACCTGTATGGTTCACACACACCTCATACTACATGGTAGCTGTTAGCAATGCTTTCTGCTGCATGTAGTGAGTCCTAATTAATGAAGCTATAAACCAGCACTCCTGAAACATGTCAAGCCTGGGCATCTTTTTAAAAATGCAAATTCTTCTTCTGTAAGTCTGAGACAGGACCTGAGACTCTGCATTTCTGACAGAACTCTCAGGTGATGCCTGTACTGGTCCACGGACCACAAGTTGAGCAGCAAGGGCATAAACCATGTTCACCTGAATGTTTCAGAGATGAGGTAGGCTAGACCACTCGTGATGTCAGTCAGGTCCCCAGCTCATTTCATCCCTCTGATTTACCATTCCTGTCTTCAATTTTGTCACCCATGGTTGCCAAATGCCTACCACAGCTCCAGACAGCATAACTTCATGCATGGCAAGAAGAAGGAGGGAAGAGGGGACAGAAGAAAGGATTTTCCCTGCATGATTCACTCCTTTTAGTGAAGGGAAAATATTTTGAGAAGGCCTCCAATTGACTTTCTCTTTTATCTCATTAACCAGAGTCTGCTCACATGATTAGACCTACCTGCAAGGGAAGCTGGGAAAGCAACTATTTAGCTTTTCCAGCCTCCGTAGTGGACAGAGGTGAGAGGTTGGGAATGACATGTGTACATCAAAGTACATATATGTGTGTATATGGTATATATACATTTATGTGTGTATGTGGTACATATGTATATAACACATAAATATAATACATATGTGTGATATATATACATATACACCAAGCACATATATGTGCATATAGCAGTACTTTTTTAGTGGGTAAGGACACCCTGAAGCATAGGCATGAGGCTTGGGGCTCAGCTTCCTTGCCAATTCTTTAAGGAAATTCAAGCCTTTCTTTCATCATAATTCTATATCTTCATGCCCTCCAAGATCCATTCTATGGCACACATTGAATGAGAAATAGAATAGCAGGGCTAAGAGACAACTTGTTGATTATATAGTACAACGGCTCATGATTCCAGAGAGAAGAAGTCCAGAGCAGAAAAAGATTTTCCCATGGTCACCCGGGCAGGCAGAGCTGGACTGGATCCCAGGTGTCCTGGCTCTCACTGTACTCTGTACATCCCCTTCTTAGAAGGTAAGAGGGCCAGGAAGCAACCTAACACTCACTCCTTTCAAACGAAAAACATGCCATCCGGCTCCTGTTTCCAACTGTCTTTTTATTGGATTGATTTCTGTTGATTATAAAAGCTAGATGTTTGTAACAATGCTAATTTTTTCAGGTGTGTATGAATAACTGAATCAAAAAGTAACAAGATAGGTTACATTTACTTCAAAAACTCCATTCAGTGAGTGCCTGCTATGTGCCAGCACAGTCTCAAGCTCTATGCTATCTTCATTTCAACTCAAAACTTTGCCAGAACTACATCATTATCCCCATTTTACAGACAGGAAACAAAGTCAAAGAGAGCTTAAGTCATTTACCCAAGGTCACACAGCTAATAACCGGGAGGTAGGAGTTGAAACACAAACTGTCTTGTTCCAAAGGCCAAATTCTTTCTGTGAAACATCTACCTTTCCTGTAATCCTATTGTGATTTATTTACTAATTTTCATCATCTATGGCTTTTCTCACTCAAATGTGTTTTGGGGGTTTTGTTTGTTTCAGCTAATGGAGAAATACCCTCTTTTCATGAAGAAAATGCCGCCTTCTTCACCAAGTGACCAACGAAGTTCCCTAAGGAATTCCCACCCCCACCCCCTTACGCCTCCAACCCCTATCTCCCTTCACCCTTCCCACTCCCCACCCCAAGCTGGATTTCCTGGCTGGTTCAGCTTGAGCTGAAAAGCTTCCTGGAGGTGGAGAGGGTCCTGCTGCCTTAATTCAAGTAGTCTATAGCTCAAGCAACCTCCCTTGCCCCTCTCAAATAAATGCTTTGTGTGTGGCTTCCAGTCTGCCCACCTTGTTCAACCCACCATCAGATAGAGATGGATATCACTTTACCTACCTGGCCTTACCTCATGGGGCCATTCTTAAAGGCTTCTGGAAGGGTCCTGGAGCATGATGCCATCTTCCTCATTATGCAAGGGTCAGCTGCTCTTGGGTTTATCAACATAAATGTGCTTCTGGGGTGAGAGTTGTGCTCAGCATACCAGAATGCCACCACTGGAGGGAAAAACAATGTTCTTGCTAGAGGGGGTCTAGTATGTAGCATGATCACAGAGCATTCAGGTGTCCTTAGCGTGCTCTGCATGAGTAGTTACGCGCAGACACCCACATTTCACTGCTCTTGGCAGAGTATCTCTCTCAGTCAGTTTAAAGGGAACTTCAGTTTAAATCTGTGGGAGCTGAATTAGGTTGTGACTGTGGTTGCCTACACTTGCAGCCTCAGAACATTCTTCCAGGGTCCTTCCCCTCTCAGGGCCCAGGCCAGCCAAATATAGTCCATGAATCTGCCGCCTACCCATTCGAGACTCCCCTGCCTTCTGATTAAAACTGAAACCACCACCTGTGTCCTAGCACAGGCTCTCAGTGCCTCCAAAACCACACACACACACACACACACACACAGCCCAGACTTAATTTCTTAATTCCTCCCCCAAGCTCCTGTCAGCACACCTGTCACACAGAATTACAGACCAAAATTAAAAACTATCCAAGCTGAGTCTCTCTCCTCACATAAGCAGCTAATCCAGACAGGGCAGTGTGTCCAATATGGGCACATTCGAAGACCCCCTCCTTCAGTTCCTGGGCTTCCAAATAGCCAAGGTCAACATAAACAAATGGAATCTTATTTACCTTTAAGAAAGTTAGAAAGAGAAGCGAGGCAAGACATGGGGATCGCCTGGTTGAAATCACTCCAACTGGTTTCCCTTTTGGCTTCCAGGATCAAAGGAATTGCATTAATAAGTCAGGTGGGCAGGACAGCTATTTACAGTTTGCGTGGCACCTTTGCATGATTCCCTTTGTTGTCTGAAGCATAGAAACAGTCAAGACACCACCTACAGCTGCATTTCAGAAAGCACTGATCAAGAGATCATGCACACCCAGGGGTGCCCATGACTGAAGCCCTGGGTACCAGGGCCTCCCCAGAAGAGTGCACAGCCAACTTTATAGAATGCCTGTTCACTGGGGTCTTCTTCATTTCTTTCTTACTTATTACGGTGAATTTTTGTTCCCCAGCCATGATCTAAGTCTCTAACTTAAACACAGCTTGGAGAGCTTCAGAAGGCCAGCCATCAGAATGAGGTACTTCTGGATCTGAATGGCTGTGCATTTCCCAGAACCTGGAAGCTAGGAGAGAATGGATTGTACACCCTCCCGAGCTTCCACCAGACAGCACACTGTGCCGGCCGCACACACTCAGTCTCCTCGGCTCTGTAATCTCAAAGGGCAGCTGCTGTAAATCATTAAGTTAATCATCCTTTGGCAAGGAGAGCCCAGCAGACTGGTGCCTCCAGTTCTCAGCACGGTTTCTTGCTGTTTCTAATGAGGCTTCATTAACAGGTAAGAAAAGGCACTGCTGGCCCTGCTGAAGCCTCATTTAATTCAGGCTTCCTCTCACAGCATCCGGTACAATTACACTCTGGCAGCAGTTCACTGACAGGTGGCAGGGAGGCTGTTGCTTGTGTTGGCCTCAAGGATGGAGCACTTGTTCTGGGGCAAACCAGAGAAGGGCTTTCGACAGACTCCTCCAAAAGCGCAGATGGGCTCTATTTCCAGACCAGGTTACTCCACTGACCTCTGGCCTGGTGCCTGGGTCACAAAACTCCCACTGAGACTGTTAGAATGTCCATTGGATTTCAGACCAAGGTAAGTCTCCTTTTCATTATCATATATCACACTTCCAAGCATCTGCTGGTACCCAGACATTTTGTTGGACTTTGGGGATCCCAGTAAAAAGAAGACACAGTTTCTGTCCTGTTGGGTTTACAATCTCATTGAGGAGTTCATATGGGCACATAAAAGGGGAAACAAAGCAAAGCAGGCAGAGCAGCACATTACAATTTGCGTGACTCCTTTAACATAGTTCAGTTTATCATAGAAAATGTGAACACAGACACTCAGATCTGACCTCTGTTGGTTTCAGTAAGATGATTCAGCAGGAACCATCAAACACCATGCTGGTCTCTGATTATCTCCATATAGCACACAAATATTTTTTCCAGATTTATTGAGATAAAACTGATGTGCAACACTGTATAAGTTTAAAGTATATAGCATAATGATTTGACATATTGTGAATGATTACCACAATAAGTTAACATCCATTATCTTATATCAGTTCAGTTCAGTCACTCAGTTGTTTGGCGACCCCATGGACTGTAGCATGCCAGGCCTCCCTGTCCATCACCAACTCCGGGAATTTACTCAAACTCATGTCCATCCAGTCGGTGATGTCATCCAACCATCTCATCTTTGTTGCTCCCTTCTCCTCCTGCCTTCAATCTTTCCCAGCATCAGGGTCTTTTCAAATAAGTCAGTTCTTTGTATCAGGTGGTCA